AAAAAAAGTTGGAATTCTGACTTCAATCTTAGAATTCTCAAAAAAAAAAGTGTGTACAACTTTGGACTTTTTTTCTGAAAAACTGTGAGTGAATAGTTGGAGCTCTGACTTCAATTTAAGAATTATGAGATAAAGTCAGAGTCTTAAAAAAAACAAGTTTGAATTCTGATTTTATCCTGTTGCAATTTTGAGAAGGAATTCTGAGAAAAAAAAGTTGAAATTCTGGCTTTGATGTGAGAATTAAGAGCGCAAAATTGTAATCCTGAAAAAAATTGCAATAGTTACTTTAATTTCAAAATTCTAAGAAAAAAAATATGGAACTCAGACTTTAATCTAAAGATTGAGAAAATATGGAAAGATTTGACAACAGGCAGCGTTCTGTTTTTTTACTGTCTTTCTTAGAATTATCAGATAAGATGTGAAATTCTAACTTCAATGTGTTTGTTCTGAATGAAAAGTTGAAATCTAAAAAAAAAGAGAGAGAGATTTTTTAAAAAGGAAAAAAAGAATTTTGAGAAATAAAGTTGGAATTCTCACAAAAAAAGGCCAAATACTGTGTGTGTGGGGAAAAAAAGAAGGAGTTCTGAATTTAGAGGAAAAAGGTCAGTGGCCCAGATCCTCGTCCGTAGTTTTCAGATGTGAGATTCTTATCGACGAGGAATCAAAACAAACATCACTTGGTTGCAGCGGTTCAGACGACAGGAGGTTTCTCTGATAAGAACGTTACTGGACAGATGAGATGATTCTCGCAGTGAGCCGGACACACCACAGATGGAAAGTGGACCATCTGGTTCTTGTCTGAGCACAAACTGTTGCAAAACCACATCTGTGAATGTTTAACATTTACTTCCAGGAACCATTTTCTCTGTTATTCAGATGCATTTAAATACTCGCCAGTGTCTCAACTCAGGATAAAGTTCGATTTTAAACAGTGAACTCTAATGTGACTCTGAGTGTCTGTTTGAAGTGAAAAATGCAACACAAATGTCTGACTTTCTTCTTTTTCTCCACCACAGATCAAACCTCTACCTCCATCTAAACCTCTACCGGCACTGGATAAAACACAGGTGAGTGGTGATGACACTCAGTGCCAAATGAGTTGGTTAGAGCTGCTTGAATTTGTACTTTTCTCTGTGTCAGTCGATGCAGATTGGTTTTAACATTTGAAGACGTCACCATAGTAGCTGGAAACTAATAAAAATCTAATAACTGTACATGTGCAGCACAACAAAGCAACTAAGTGCTTTACAACAAGACAAATTAGGAAAAAAATCAATAAATAAATGAGACATGCAACAAAAACTAGTGTTGGGGACATTTAAAAGACAGTAATTACCAGATTAGTTGCAGATATAAATTAATATATTCGTTTAACAACTTACGCTCCTTTGAGGACTAAATCTAAAGTCATATTTTTCATTTTAAAAAGGCATAACTTCTACTATTACTACTCTGGTGCTTTAGGACCTCTAAAATGGAGACTTTTGCAAACGCTGATGACCCTGTTCTAGTTTGAAAACTCACTGGTCGTGTTCTATTGTGGACGAGCAGAAACTAAGAGTTTTGCAACAACAGCAACGCTTTTTGGTTGCGTCATCACATGATCCTGCTCTGACAAAACAGTAGCAAACAAATACTACCAGCAGCTAATTCAACATGGAGAATAAGTTACTGCTCACCTTGTTTTCAGCAGCAGACTGGCCTCGTTGTCAGTCCAAGAAAAGAAATCTCTGGTTTTAGCTCTTGCCGTTGCCATTTGTGAGGAACCAAGTTGAAAAGCCTGGGGGAAATTAAATCACAAAAAACAAGCTTTAAAGGTCATAAAGGAAGTCAAATGAACACAGTTAAATTTAGGCTATGACAGCAAAATACATTTTAAAATAAAGTATGATTAAAAAGTTCAGACTGTGCCAGTAAAAATCAAAAGAACCACACCTGATTTAAATTCTACTGCCATCCCGGTCGATGTCGCCTCCTTGTGCAGCGCTGCTCTGCTCCCAGTACTCCTGCAATGCCTGCTTGTGTAAAAAGCATCATCTGCTAAAAGCGCCAAATCTCCAAAACTTCAACGTGGATTTCACTGTGGGGAAGAGGAGGAAATCACAGGAAGCAACGATGGAGATGCTGCTTAAAAAAAAACAAAAGAAAAACAGGATTTGTGCTTTCAAATGACGTATTATTGCGGTCGGTACGGTTCAAAATATGACGGCAGTAGTTGCAAAAGTTACAGCGTGATTATCCTTCAAACAGAAGTGAGACAGAAAACAATAACTGACCTGGTTGCTTTTGTTCCTGCTGTTGATGCTCTCTTCTATCGAGTCATATTCAGGTTTAAAGCCTCTTAATGTACAAGACTATTAAAAATTTCAGCAGGTGGTGACAACGAAGCCTCTATGGTCACTTTAAACAACACGATATATCCTTTAATGTCTTATTTACTTTAATTAATTCCTTTTTAAATAGTTTCCTGTGTCTACCGTTTGTTGTGACTCCCTCTGGGGATCATTCAAGTCTGATCTTGTGGCTGAATCTCAGTCATGAGTTAAACTATTATTTTTTGTTGGGACCAAACGAAATTTCCCTAAAAACGACAGAAACCCTCCCCCCCCACCGTCATCAGCGTTAGGTGCAGAAGCAGCACGTCTGTCTGATATAAATCTTTGTTTTGCTTTCCAGTACAAAGCAGCCAGATCCAGCCCTCCTCCCGTACCTCCGGTCAAACCCAGCCCTCGTCCAGCCGCCAGATTCAAACCCGCGACTCCTCCTCAGCCTCCAGCGAAGCCTCAAGTCTTCAGGCTCACATGAAACTCTCTTTAAGACTTCCAGCTTCTACCAAAGCGTTCGGCGTGTACATACAGACAGAGACGAATCCTCGGCAGCCTCTTCTGGTTGAGTCACGGAGGCCGGAGAGTTTGGAAGAGTTCCCTCTTCAGGAGGTTGCTCAGAGCGAAGCTTCACCGAATGACAACGTTCAAAGACACGAGACCAACGGCTGCACGGCTGCTGTGGAAAAGTGATTATTCTGGTGCAGTTGTGATCATTCTGAGTTTGTAAACTGTCCTTTTGCTCACTTTTTGTCGCATTGCACTTTTTTAAGACGCTCAAATGAAAATGTTGTGAAGTATTTATTTAATGTTTATATCAGGGACTGTATGAAAACTGTTAGTGGGAAAGGCGGGGCAGGTTTATCTAGATTTATAGTTTAATTTAGCTTTACATCGAGCTGCCTAAAGCTTGACTAACACGTTAACATCGTACGCCGTGCTACGTGTGGAGATTTTTCTTGTACTTTAAACAAACCAGAGAGTAAGAGTTTAGTAACATAATATAATGCAGGCTTGAGCAGATGAAATTACGTCAGTCAAATCACACTGACCTTACAAATGCATCTTAGCAGCAGCTTTTACCGGTAAAAGTGTCGAAAATGTCACCGTACGCCTTAGACGACCTGTCTAGCTTGTAATCATAGTGGAGTGTTTGGCTGATATTTCCCTCAGGAGGTGGTGGAGACCAAAAACAGAGCAAATATAGGCAGAATATTGGACTTAGACTGGAAGCTGGACACAACTCCAATTGAAAGCTGAACTGCTGAATTGCAAATAATAACAAGTTTCTGCAGCCAAGAAGTGTCCAAAACATCTGTAACTGCAGCTTTAAGCTTCTCTAGTTAATGCTAGAGCGTTGGACTTTTGCACATCAATGTACAGCCGTTACATTTCAGCCATAAAAGTTCACACAATGCTGATGGAACACAATCAGCTGCAGGTTAATCCGTCCGTATTTAGCAGTGAACTGGAGTTTTGATCTGGTTTCATTTCCGCGCTGGTCCAACGGTAATAACTGCAACTCTGATGCTCCAGATTTAAAAAGAAATTTAGCGTCAGTCTAAAAAAAGAAAGCTCACACGATTTGTGTGAGAAGGTTGTGAAACTATTGCAGAAGTCCTTGTTCAAAACCAACAGTTACATTATTGTGTAATACTAGAGGGAGGGTTTTCTAAGACAAGAGGAGAGTCCTTTAAAAACCTTTTTTGAGTTTTCATACAGTCCCTAAACTGTGTCTAAGGCCAGTCCGTGCCTTCTAAAAGGTCATTTCTTTACACTTTACTTGAAATCCTCTGATTGGTACATCGCTGTGGGAGCCTCAGCACACTTCAGATGACCAGTGTGTTGCTCTGGTTCAGCCTGAACCAATTCTTCTTTGTTTGTTTTCAGTCCCAGGAGGGTGTGTGACTGAGCCTCGAGGAGCCGTTACTTGTTTTTATCTCACTGCACTGATATGTTTCTGGGGCAAAAGTCAGGGGGTTTAATACCTCGCAGGTTCAATAGTAAATCAGTGGTTTATTACAAAAACACAATTTGGCATATTAAAAAGCCTGTTTTTACATTTACTACCAATGACTGATTGATTGTTAAACCTTTTTGTGTTGCATCGAATAAAGTGCACTTTATTTCAACAGTACATTACATCAGCAGATTACTCGTTTTTTCAGTTACAGAACCTCTAACCGGTTTCATCAGCGTGAGAAAAGTCTTTTTTTTCCTCTGTGCTGCTTTGCTTTCGTCCTTGTGTAACATCTTTATTAACCTACGGAGAAGTCTGCTGTTGTTCTTTCCAGCGAACGTCAGTTAACAGTTAATCCATTTTTATTGCTCTCTAGTGAGGAGCTCCAGGAAGACAGGCAGCAGTGAGTCAGAGCTCTCATCATCCAGCTTCCTGTTCAGCTAATTTAGCAGTTAGAGACGAAGGCTGATGGTTTTTTTTTTGTTTCCAGTTTAACACAAACTCGATGTTCTTGTGGGAAAATAACAAAGAACTTTAAAAGTGAATCGAAAAAACGCCAAATGTCAATATCAGCTTATTGCATACATTAGTATTATGTTGTCTGATAAGTCACAAAAATGGCAGTACAGGATTTAGCGTTTGTTGTGGTTGGAAACTCTCTCGAGAAGTATTGGCTGGACTGCTCTGAAAGTAGATACTCACATTCATGCTCCCCGTAGGATGAACTGTATGAACTTTGTCGATGCTTTAACTCTTCTTCTGTCGCAATCGTAAGCTCGAAACCAGAAATTTGTCCAACTCTCTACTTAACCGCTAACATGCTAAACTAAAACAATCGTGCCAACATTATTCGGTGACTTTTCACTGCAGGAACTCAGGTCAAGTGTGAGTACCAATCAGTCGCATTCATGGATGGAAATATTGGTCAGTTCACCACTTATGTACAAACTTCACTATCTTTATAAATTCATACAACTTTGGCCATGCTTCCGACAGTCTCTGCAACTAATTGCTGGACTGCTGGGAAAGTTTGTACACACATTTATGCTCCGCTCAGGATGAACTGTAACAACTCTGTCGACGCTTAAACTTTTCTTCCAGCGCAATTATTGTCAGAAACTGAAATTTGTCCAACACTCTACTTAGTTTACAAACTGAAATATCGGTCGGGTTACCAATTCGATCTAAACTGAAGCATCGTTTGAAATTCTTGTAGCTTTGTAATGACAACAATTGACCAGACTGTTGGGAAACCTGCAACCATCCTGTCAAACTCTGAAATTTGTCCAATGCTCTACCTAACCGCTAACATGCTAAACTAAAACGATTATGGAAACATTCGTGGACGGCTATATAGTGCAGAAACTCAAAACAGGCGCGAATGTTTACAGAAACAACCTTGTAATTGGCTTTCTTTTGGTTTCCATTCTGGTGGAGGATTCAACAGCTTCAACAACAATGTTAACTCAGAGAGCGCCAAAACAATGATAAATAGCAGCTAGTGGATGTCACTCCAGTTCTGTGAGCGTGTTAGGAAATGGAGGTTTACTATGCTAGGTTACATGGTGAATTCGACATTGGTAAATCCATCCATCCATTATCTATACACCGCTTAATTCTCACTAGGGTCATGGGGGGCTGGAGTCTATTCCAGCTGACTTAGGGTGAAGGCAGGGGACACCCTGGACAGGTCACCAGTCTATCACAGGGCTACACTTAGAGACAGACAACCAAGCACACTCACATTCACACCTACGGACAATTTAGAATCACCAATTAACCTCAACATGTTTTTGGACTGTGTGGGAGGAAGCCGGAGAACCCAGAGAGGACCCACGCTGCACGGGGAGAACATAACTCCATGTCCCCACCAGGACGGGAACCGGCGACCTTCTTGCTGCAAGGCAACAGTGCTAACCACTGACCACCTTGCAGCCCTACATCAGTAAATGTGGGGAAAAAAACCTTCCCTAAAATCATTTCACACAAGTCAAAGTAGTTGCTCGTCATGCCTGCTGGAAAGCATGTTGGGGGATGCTGTTGTTTCAACTAATAGTGATTTCACTTAACTAAACTAGTGCACTTCATTATACCAAGACTTTTAATTACTCTTTTTGTTGTAAACACCAACTATCTTGCACTTTATTCTTGAATTTCCCCCAAGAGGCTGAAGAAAGCATCTATCTATCCATCTAAAGTGACACAGAAATGTTACCAGGTCCGACCTAGTTATGTGCCGTTGCAGATTTTATGGAAAAATAAACTCATTTAGACATGAAGCAGACGCATTTAGATTCACTGGATTAAAGTGCGTGTCCTGAAAGGGTGCTTAGTCACACTTGTTGGCAAACTGACCAAAAAGGAAGGCCCTGTATGTATCGTGTCCTTAAAGATACGTTATGTGCATGTACACAATGTGACTGTATGGGATGAAACATGTTCAGTGTCCAAAACTTGGTTCTGGCAGTGTGTATGCTGTATACCTACCAACATCTGTATGGACTCCGCAAGGGCCTAAGTTTGACATGTTGTTCTCAGATCTGATGTAGGCCAAACACATGCGGACACCCAAACAGCTCAGTCGTGATTATTCAACATGTCATTAATCTGCAGCCTCCACTCTTCTGGTTTCAGACTTTCCCCCAGACTCGGCCACAAGAGCATTACTGCGGTCCAACACTGATGTTGGGTGATAAGTTCTGGCTCCACAGTCGGCGTTCCAGCTCATCCCAAAGGTGCTGGATGGAGCTGAGGTCAGGACTTTATGCAGGCCAGCCAAGTTCTTCCACAGCAAACTGGGAAAAACATTACTTCTTTCCACAATATCAATGTATACCAAAGATCAGCAAAGCATCAGTCGTCTGTCACACTAACCCCCACAAGTATTTCATGTCAGATGTGTAAATCTAACAGTAAATGTGGGGGAAAAAAATCACATTTCAAGCACCGGTGCAGAGGCTCAGACATGGGAGCTGAGTTTTGAGGAATGTAGGCCTGAGCAGGGGGGCTGGTTTCTCACCGTCTGATTCACTCTGATTCACCAGCCAAAGAGCTAATAAAACATCACAGTTTACAATGCCAGTGGCTTGTTCGACAGTGAGGTTTTCGTCTCTGCTTGTTGCTGGTTTACTGGGCACATTCTGCAGGAGATGATATGCGATGACGACATCCCTCCTCAAAGGGTTTCAGGGCGTCGACTGAACCGTGCAGCCAGCTGTGTGTTTATTCTGACTTAAATTCCACTTTCAGAACAATCCACAAGAAAACCCACAAGACTCTCCAACTAAACAGACCACAGCACAACACAGAGAGGTCTTGTACTGTTAAACTCTATCTTGTCCTTTTTCTGGCCGTCTCAGGCTCAGTGCAAAACAAGAGACTATCACGGATGACAGCTTATTAAATATTTCAGTGTGCAGATGTGCCAAACACTGAGATCGTAATCTAAAACGCTTGTAAGGAAAACAGAAGTGACCTGGCATGACTCCTCATGCCTGTAACAGATCATTTCCTGACACAAGCGGGGAAACAGTCGAGTCTAAAAGGAGCCAGAAAAGCCCTGAAACAGGTCATGAAAAGGGGGGAAGAAGTGATCATCTGCTCAGCTTAGTGACTCACTATTAATCACTCAGATCGAAAGCTGAGCCTCTTTGGTTAAACAGTTGAGTCAAAGTATCTCGATTGTTTCCAGCCTTTCTTTTAGACAAGCGGGTACTTCCTCCGACAGGGTCCTCTGCTGAGTCACATCTTTAAAACCTCTCTGATCAAAGAGATTGTAGATACAGCAAGGGAAGTCCTGTGAAAATCTGACAAAAACTCATGCAAGACTTTTACTTCCTTCTGTCTCAAGTACAACTCGGCAACTGCAGGCTGTTTCTAAACCTGATTTTAATTTGTGAAATGGACAACCCTCTTGGGCTTTAGGACCTCCCAACATAAATCCACCAGCCAATTCATGCTTTCCACATCTACAAGGATCCAAAAGGATAAATGTGACATAAATCCCCACATTTACCCCGACAAGACTCTGTGCGAACCCCTTTGCATACATCAGAACTGTCTGGTCTGCAGATGTGCCACGAAAACAAACAGTCCTCGAACAAATCCCATTTATGAGAAGAGACTCTGTGAGGAGTCTCCATCATCCACACCTTTATAATCCATCATTTTTCCATTTCTGTAATGTTCCGTACAGATCAAAGGCTGTTGGAAGGTGAAAAACCCATTAGCTGCTGCCGCCTGCCCCCCAGGTGAGGTACAGTTAATCTTGGAGGAGCCTGTACTTTTTAAACTCCAGCCTCTATTCATAACTATGAGACAGAGGCTGAAAGAACTCTTGCTCACACTTGTCGGGATGCTGACCACAAAGGAAGGTCCTGTGTGTGTGTCATGGTTAAAACTGCATACGTGCACAGGGAATATGAGCAGGCATGGAAAAAACACTGATGGTAACCATCTAAAAGTTGGGTGAGGGTTAGCCTGCTCTGGCTCTGTATAGACCAAAGTCTGTCATATTTTAAAACTACCTTCAAAAGGCGAAACGTATTTGGACATCCACTTAAATGTGAAGACTGAACAATAATCTGCAGCCTCCACTCCAGATTTAGACTTCGGAGGGGCTTTGATTTGTACATGATTCCCATCGATGGCGCCCAAATACAGTACAAAATTCCCCAGAAATCCTGTGCTAAAGGAATCTCCCATGTATAACCTCTGTAAGGGCCTGCTTTGAGGAAGAGAAGAGGATTTACTCTGGGATGGCTACTTCTGAGTGACCCTGAAAAACTATGAAGCAGGTGTCAGTGTGATTGGGTAATTTTAAAGAAGTCAAACTCAGCTTGGGTTTAAGTCAGAGACGACAACAAGCATAATTTTTTTGGTCTTGATGTCCTCGTCAAGCAGTCTTCTAACATTTCCTACACGGGCTAACATAAATCCTCCATTGTTCTATTACCTACGTCCTACTACTTGTTGGCACAATGAGAGTTAACGTGGTCGAAGCTGTTGGATCCCACACACCCATGGAAACAGAAATGGTGAGAGGGTTGATATTTTCCAACTCATTCTGGTCGATAACAGAAATGTTTTTTTTCCACCCAATTGCAAAGAACATCAGGTCTCTCCTGTAGTGAAGTTAACACACTGTTATGTCTTCTCTTATCATGATGGCGGTTGCCAAATGTACACAATCACTGTGGGAAAAACGACTTCATGTAAACATGCATTTACTTTTATGTAACCTTTTTAAACAAAATAAATTCTAAGCCTGACAGGCGTTATCTGCTCGTCAGTGTTGCTTTTGGATTGATATCAACGTTTTGTTTTAAAGCCTGTATTGGCCAACACAGACTGTTGTGTCAGTATCATTTTTCTGTAATTGAGTCGTTCACACTGTCAAACATGATGAGGCAGACTCACATATCTGAACCGAAATCAGGAAGAACAACACAGGAATCGTGCCAAAGTCATTTATTTTATTACCAGGTAAACATTTGATCTTCATACAATGAAATTTCTAAAACTTAAACATTCAGAGACAAAACCATCAGATGGAAACAATACTCCAATGCAAAGAAAACTGACTGATCGAGTTACTTAAATACAAAAAATATTTTCTGGCATTGCACTTTAACTTCATAAATACAACTAAGAAGGTTCGTGTCTCTCTGCCCAAAGTCACCGCGTGACCGACCACCTGCAGTACATTCACCCGTTTACCGGCCGCCGTTTCCTGTGAGCATCTCAGCTCTCAGATCCAATCGTTCAGATTCATGTCAGCGGTCGAGGAAACCGGACCGTCACACTTGGATGTGTAATGTTGCTTTGGGATGGATGGTGGCGGCTCGTGTTTGTGATAAGAGCTGAAACGATTACTCCAATAATTAAACGGCCGTTGGACAGAATCGATCCATTGTTTCGACAGTGTTGTGAAGTGAAAAGGCCAAATGTTGTCATCTTTCAGCTTCTAAAATGTGAGGATTTGCTGCTTTTCAGTGTCATGTTATGATGGCGGTATATGTTTGGGTTTTACACACAACCCAATAAGATAAAACCACAGACTGTGTATACAAGATGGACGCAGCCACAATAACATCACTGGTTTAGCCATCGCCATATTTGTCTTTTTAATCCGGATGTGACAAACGAAGGGTGGCTCTGACGGAGACCTCGAGGACACTACACACCCTGATATGTAAATACACGCCCTGTTTTTTTTACTCTTAATAAAACCATAATCTACCAAATAAACATGAGTCTCTATTAAAATAGAGATCATAAACTCATTAGGTTAATGTTTAATGGGGTAATAAATCAAGGCAGAGGTCGGGTCATTTTCTCAGACTTTCATACAATCTGGCCTCCTTTTGCTACCAAAAGGAGTCGCCCCCTGCTGACTGCTAGAAAGAATGCATGTTTGAGGCTACGTCCATCTCTTTTATAAGGTCTGTGGATAAAACTATCAACCTGAATATGTCACCAAGAAAAAAAGCAAATTCTCACACTGAAGAGGACAGAAATAAAGAATGTTTAATAGAATATTTTCAAAAATTACTTGCTGATATATTTTTGCTGATGAAGTGTGTTTAATGTTCAATTCCAGTTTGCACATTAAAAACCTCTGAGGAGAGATACTGGGAAAATGGCAAACCATTGCCAAATTGTTTTAAAAGCTGCTGAATAAGCTGGTTTATCAACAAAAATGTGAAATCAGAATTACTCCTGAAATCTGGGCTACATCCACATTAACATGTTTTCACAAAAGCGATCTCCATCCAGACCAGCGTTTTAGCACCGTTTCAGGAATATGCTCTGTGCATACTAATGAAAATACTACAAAGGAAGAACAGCAACGGTAAAAAGGTAGCACCAGAGATTTCCTTAACTGGACAAACAGCTTCGAGCAGAGACAAAGTCAGCAAAGACTTGTCAACTCCGCTGAATGTGCTAACAGTTCACGTCCCCATTACTTCAACTCCTGAACACGTCTAAAATGGAGGCGTTTGAAAAAAGCTGCTGCTGTCTCTGTTTTAGTTTGAAAACTTTGGGGTTTGCATTTTTGTCTGGATGTTTCCTCTGCAACACTGCCACATGATAAAAGCGTCCAAGAAGCATAGATCCAGTCAGAAAGCAGTCTCCACCCAGCCAGACAAAAATGCAAGTCTTCAAACTGAAGCAGAGACGGCAGCAGATTTTTCAAACGGCTTCATTTTAGGGTTGTTGGAAAGCTGGAGTAATGTGGACGCCGACTGTTAACACAGCAGACGTCAAGAGTTGTAAAGTTTAAATGTATTAGTGTGGACGTAGCTTTACATTTTTGTAATGTTTTTCATTATTTGAGTTTAGACTGAAACTTTTTTTATAGTCATCTAGGTGCAACTTCTTCTATCTTCTTCTTCCGCCTGCAGATTTATTGTTTATTTTGATGCAATTAAGAACAGAAATCCACACTATTTTTCTTTTTCAGATATTCTCGACTGTACCTTTTTTTCCTTTCTAAACTCCACCATGGACTAATCGTTTCAACTCTACATGACATGAACGAACCATCCACTGAACGACTATGTGCACATGAATGAGACAACGAGAGCCACTGCATCTCCATGACATTTAAAAAGACACATGTACAGTATAGACATCGTATAAACATGATGGCCAGCCACATCCGTCGCTTATAACAAGACAAAAACACTTCTGCCTATGATATATTATTTTGAAGAAAAAAAACAAAACAAAACATACTTAGATAGCATTTAACCCCCCACGTGTTGATAGTAAAATATATCAGAGTGATTATGAGTGACGGGAACAGCTTCTGTCCCGCTCTGACTGTAAATTCTGCGACAGTTTTGGCAGCCTGGAACGTTTCCGCTACTCTTCACAGAGAGGATATGTGGGAGTATCAAAGTGCTGCTTGCTTGATTGTAATTTCCTCCTCGACCACCCTGCCCCGACCACTTCCTGTTTCCCTGCGCGTCACAGGGTCGAACTCGTTCATGTGTTTCTGTCGATGTGATCGATCCGCCTCAAAAACAACCCCTCAAATCTGGTTGGTGCTACAGTTTTGCAACGACAGTAAAAATCATCAGCTTGAATGAACTACGATGAGTATTGTGCAGCATAAGGAAAACGAGAAGAGAGACAGAGCTTTGTTGTTTTCTCATATAAAAACAAGGTTAATCAAACTTTCCACCATGTGAGACGATGGGAGCAGACCGACACCACTGAGCATGTGTGGATGCCGTCTCTTTTTACATTTTTTATTTATTTATTTATTTTTTAAAGATGATCAGGAAAGTTGTGTTGTTTTAAAGACAATGTCCCGAGTCCATGTACAACTGTACAATGTTTGAAGCCACTCCGCTGCGTGAACAGCTTACAGTCCTTAGTGTTACTCGGAGAACAGGCGGGTGTGGTGGAGGATGCGACGGTGCTTACGCGTTTCGCTTTTTTAATTTTGTCGTTAAAGTTTCGTATTTCGTCCAGCTCCAGTCTTGGTCCTTAAAAAGGGAAAACCAAAGTGTTTAATAAAAGACCAACCAAATAAATATCACAAATGTGTGCAAAAATACTCATATTGGTTTTTTTTTTAAAAACCAACCAGGTTGTAGTTTTTCCTCTTTTTATGGATGTTTTTTTTTCCACCATCTTACAGGAGATTTTTTTTCATAGACTGTCTTTAAAACATGTTCTCTTAAGTGGATTGTATGATAACACACTTCATTTATTCACTATAATTTTGATAAATCCTGTCACCCAAACTAATGGACTTTGCTGTTATACACACTGTAGAGTTTACTGTGTCATCTCTGGCATCAGATTAACACTCCTGTTCATGTGTACAAAATGTTGGAAAGGTAAGACACAATTATCCAAAAAACAAATAGAAAACAGTTTGCACTGAAAACACTTCTCCCTCTTTAGTGTCACTACTGGTAAGAGCACTGACTTGGCCACATTTTGTACGTGTTAAGGGTGTACCTGTTGCATATTTATCCCAAAACATTCAGTATTTGATATGTGGGTTGAGACTTATGTTCAGTATTTCCTGTATTTTATGTCAATGCACTTGTGTCCTGGAACAAGACGGTTCCAGAATGTTTCACCTCCAGCACGCTGGCAGATTATCTTTGTGTGATTGCTATTAACATACACACACGCCACATATGAACCAACTTTTCTTCAATCAGAACCCGCAACGTCTAAAGTTTATTCAAACAAGACAGCCTTGTGCTTGGTGTTGACGAAAATAAAGGAAGTCAGAGTGACTTTCTGTAGCTCTGAAGCTTTAATTGCACTGCTGGACTTACATGATTCATTTACTTATAAATGTGTTGCACTCTTCTTAATACGCATTTTTTAAAAAATGTCACTGATTCTACAGCCGACAGTCAATAGTTCAGACTTTACTTTTTGGCTGTATTTAATAGCATTTAGGTGCCTTAACTGTCTGAGCTATGGTGAATTAGACACTTTGTCTCCCAAAAATAAATTAACAGAATTGTCAATTTTGTGCATTTATGTAGTTTTCTCTGCTGAACTTACCTTTACATTTAGTGCACTGTTACACCCCCAGTATTTTTATGCTTTGTGTGTTTCGCTAAAAATTCGTTTCAGTGTTTGTGTCTGGGCAGCCTTAGCTCTGGGTGTGGCCTTGGGCTTTTTTCCTTTTTCTTTGCTGCACTTTAGTTTCTTTTAAATTAAAAATGATATTAAAAAGTGATATAAGACATTTTATGAAAGATTTGACTAAATTAGCAAACGATGATATGACAACTTAATCATAATTTTCTCTCTATATTTAAACCCTTTTATTCTATGACCAAAGCTTTCCTTTAATGCCAGTGGTCGTTTCTTTGTTAAAACATACTATTAATATGAAGCACTTTTCATAACCTGTTGGTATTAGAGCTACACTGACAATTTTCTCAAAGAGGAGGAACTGACCACACAAATTTAAATTATGGCTAATTTAAAAGGTCACACTCTACAGTTACAAACATTGCATTAAAGATCCAGAACCGCACGAATTAGACAAGTAAACTCACCACTATGCTTTTGGCCTGGTCGTCTGCAGCCTCCTGCATCAGGCTGGTCAGCTGACTGAGGTACTTCTGGTTCTCCTGCAGCAGCCGCGGGGCAGCATCACTGAAACATACATACAGACCATTCAGTCACATGTAGACCTCCTTCATGTGCACAATGCGTTCACCATTTGACCACCCACAGGGGGTCCCAGGGGGAAAACTCACTGTCCTGATAAAGCTTACAAATTCTCATGACTACAGCATGCATTTATTACACACAGCATACATCTGTTGCCACAGCAAAGAGAGAGGTCAAGTATTCAACCCTGTGGCTCTTCTCATTTTTTACAAACACTGAATGGATGCATTTTCTACACTGAGCCAGAAAACACAGACTACTCATACAAATAATAATAATAATAATAAAAAAAACACACATAAACCATCCCTGGTGCAGTGAAAAAACTGGGACAAACATGTCAGATTGCAAAACATTTGAATATTTACTCAGGCAGCAGACACACAACAACAACAAGCATTTATTAAGAGTCATATGTGTCAAACTGATGATTTTAATACCTCTACTTTTAGGCTCTATACCTCCTCAGGAAAACATCTATCTTTAACTGCTAAATACTTCATTAAGTTAACCAGCTAGCTGCCATTTGTTGCCAAGCAGAGGGTTAGGGTTAGGGTACAATGTGTACAGTGGATTTTTAGAGCTTCTTCTCCAAAACCTGCTTCTACAGGAATAACTTGGCAAATTAAGGTCTTTTACGTATCTTGAAAACTCAAAAACACCCATGATCCCTATTCAAACTAAGTTTAATAGGTCTGGAAAAGAAGACAGAGGAAACTTTCCAGGCTACAGATGTCCAAAGATAAAGATAGTACGCAAACAGACTTCAGGTTGTTGTCGCTGAGGTGATTTCACTGAATTTTAACTTTAACAGGGTTAACACTTAGGCAATTAACAGGGCTTCATATCACGACTAATTGACCATTTTTTTAGAATGAGCAAGTTAAAATTTCATGTAGCTGCATTGTGTGTGATAATCATTAAACTGTATGGCAGCTTCGGCCTATAGCGCAGCGGTGAAAAGTCGTACTTTTGCTTTTTCACTGGCTCAGTGAATCTCTCCAAACCTGATGCAAGAAACAATCCATTTAGCTGTTGTGTTCTCGAATATTGAAGCCAATTATTTCAAGAAACAAAATGAGGAAAGAGATGAGGAGGCAGGTGGACAAGTAGAGCTTCAACCTTTATTCACATGTTCAGTAGTTATTGTTTATTCTTGCACATAGTGATCCATGTGGCCATATGCACTGTGTGTGTTCTATGAACTCTGCATACAATCATTCATTGGGTATTCTGGTCTAATCTTTTAGGAGCAAAAGTAGATTGATGATAAATAAGGAGTGCAGGTGGAGAGATACCAGCTGCGCCAGTGAAGAAAAACTACACACCACTATGGTTCAATAAATGAAACCTAATTAAAAATCAGAATTTTCCTATGATTACATGAACTCCACACGTAGAAAAGCGTGATGTAGACAAAATCATCTGGTTTCAACGTAGTAAATCTGATGCTAGAGCTCCTTCTTTCACTCTTTGGGTCGCACACCTGCAAATGTTTAGCAAGTGAGGAGTTTAGCCTTTGCCCAGTTTACAGGAGTGATATCAGACAACCTCCAGGAAAAGACTGCTGACACAGAACTATATTTTCTGATTGAAATATCCTGTCTGAAGTCCCCATCAATTCTCAAATCAATGCAAATCAATAATTTTGTTAAAATGAGTTTGAGTATAGTGTTGTTTCCCCCCCACACAGCGACACATGCTGCACACTGAATGCTTTCTGTACAGGCATGGTCATAGCAAACACAACATGAATCAGTGGGGTACCTGTCATTTGGCCCAGGTAGGGATGTGAGCGGATGTGGCGAGCTGACAGGCTGCGCTGACTGCGACCACTGAGAAACCTGCAGCAGGTTGGACGACTCCGGACTGGCTGCTATCGAGTTTCGTGACGAGTTCTGGGCCTGAGGGAGAGACAGATCGTACTGGTACATGCAGCAATCATAAAAACATGCCGTCTCTGTCCTACAGCAGGAATGCAGGCGGGGACCCCTCCGGCTGACTCTATGTTTAGTATGTTATGAACAGAAAGTATCGCAGCTGGGGAGCAGACGCTGACCAGACAAGGACAGTGTGGCGCTGAGGTGGCTGGACAATTAAGTCAAAGTTAACCAGCAAGGAAAAATGTCAACTATAACCAGGTTCCAGTTTGTCTATTGGGTAATTCTATCTTAAATCATCAGTGGCCTCCTGCTCCACCATCTGTGATTTGCTTGATACTTTTTTTTAAAATCATAAACTATGAATATTTACAAAGGAATCCGTGAAACTTCAGACTGATACATCAAAACACTTTGTCAGATACATTCGCTTTAACAAACCGGCCCACTAATGATGATTTTTTTCTGCTCTTTGAAATTTGAGGCTGTTAGAGCAATAAGATCTCAGGACCTATTGAGGATAAAAGCCTGAGCTGTTATTTCTGAATCTGTGATATTAGACTAGTAGGTCTCTGGTTATAGGTGAGTTGAAACAGCAACAAAAATTAGGTTGTCATGAAAAGTCCCATCTTTGAGCTCACGTCAACAAGAAACAAAAAAACAACAAAAAAAACTGATGATACTTTCTGAACCAGCTGCTTGTCACAATCATCCAAAACAAAACATATAGAACGGTTTAATGAGAAACAGTTGATCAGTTATTTTTGTTGAACTTTCATAACTGATTGAGAAGCACCACAAAAACAAAAATATTGCCGGATAGCTTGAGCCAAGAAATTTCAAAATGGTTCTTAAAATATAACTAAAACAATATAATATTGGCATATTTTTCATTTTCAGACACCATTTTATCAGTATAACCTTTGGCTTTGAGGAGATTTCAATGTGCAAACAAAACCGGGTAAAAGTGGAATAACGAGTAGATTAAAAAATGAATTTTAAAAAAGTAAAGTATTTGACATATCAAGCTAGAACATTACAAATATCTTTCTAAATATCCATAGTACTTAATGAAAGAAAAAATTTCAGGCAACTCAGAGATAGTCGAGCAGAAAATGTTCTAAAAATGTGATAATTTGAGAGTGAACACATTATTTAGGGCTTTTGGACTGTGATGGAGGGTTTTCTTTTCTTTTTGTATTGTCTGACACTCTATAGATAAAATGATTAATCAGTTAATTAAGAAAATGAGCCGCAGAAAAGGAGATAATGGAAAATCATTGTGCAACTTGGGCTCAGCAATTAATCACACCGGTATCAAAACTATGATGCTCAAGTGCAATATTCAGATTGCAGGAGCTGCACTTTGTCGATAAAATATGTCTCAATATACGGTTAGAAATGAAGAATTGTGTTGCTGCAGAGATGCACCAGCTTGCAAATTATATTCTCTAGACTTCAGGAAACGTTTTTTTTTTTGTTTGGTACAGACTACTTCAAAAACCACATTTATTTTTCAGTGACTATTCCCATCACAGTATCTGTCAGAATGTTTAAAACAAGATCTTTTTTTTAATTTTTGTACATTGTTCAGGCCTAGTTGGAGTCATAAGACAGTACAGCAAAGTTTTATTCAAGAAGAAAGAAGCCTTTTGTAAGAAAATATATGTATTGAGTTGCTTCATAGTGGAAAAATGTGCCAAACTGATGTGGCTGATAAGAAACGAAGCAAAAATGTACCAAACGGATGTGGCTGATAAGAAACGAAGCACAATTACTTACACATGCGATCTTGAGTAAATGCCAGAACTCTCTCTGTCTCTTTATCTGCATCTGCATCACTGTGTTGTCAGCATCCTTGATGCTCTCCAGGGTTTTCTCGATTCGCGGAAACAAGTCAATGATCTTCTGTTTGCTGATCAGGATCTTACTGTTGGAATGAGGCAGGCCAGGACAAAGCGGCGTTAGTGCTGTAATGAACTAGTGAACAGTGAATTATTGTGCTCATTTCACATCCAAGAAAGCAAATAATAAATTACTAGTAAGACATTTTGAGGAAAACACAGGGAAGCGGATTTTGCCACCGTAAAACAAACCCACAGTAAATTAAAACATTCAACTGAAACTCTTCAGGACTCCTACCTGAGGTGGGTGAACAGGTCTTTGAGGACCTTGTCTTGGTTCTGGACAGTCTGGATGATGGCCTTCACCATCTCTGAGCTGTCGCTGCTCACATCCGAGTCAGGAACTGAGAGAGGAGAATCCAAACACACGCTCAGTTTAAAAATAAACCAGATTTGACTTGAGAAAGTATTGAGATGCGATAATTTTACATCTTAAAATTCAAAATGACAATAAATCTTATTAAAAGGTTCCTTACTTTTGCATTTCATCTTCAGCTGCCTGTAGAGGTCGATGGCTTTATGTTCTCTGCAATAAAATGAATTTGGCGGATTGAAATGTGTACAAATTCTTAAACTAGAGCTTTATATGTAAACATCTGTAGATTACAATCTGATGCTGCGTGTTTAAAATGCTTCAGACGTCCTCTCTTCCTCTTCTGTTTGCCACACAGAAAAGACGCCAGTCAATGGCTTTACAGCGGCACAGAGGACGGGTTGTTTTTGAACAAAAATCCTTTTAAAACCAAGACGTACAAGTGCAATCCTGTGCACAACACAACTAGAATTCCCAGGATTTACCAAAGGAAAAGTAAGAGAAAGCAGTGACTTGTGTAAACATTTCATAAAGGCCTGTGGGATGTGTGTGAACGCCATCAAAGTTTTGCCAAACTCACACAGAGCTTTTATGTCGTTACTTCCTTCAAACTTTTTGCACACTACAGTATTATTAAGTGATGCAGAGGATAACAAAACTCATCATTAGGGAGATTGAACTGTGCATTTCATCCTGTAAGTGTGTTTACAGAGTGATGGTGGAAGCATCTGTGCATATTTCTGTTGCATCATTCTCTGTTTACTAAACAGTTGTGGTTGTGGTGATCACAGTTTACAGTGCAGATGCCTTCACTAGATATCTAAAATAATAAGAAAAAACTGGTATCATGTCGTCTTTGCTTCCATAATCTCCACCAGCACCTGAAACCTTTAAGAGAAAACACAAGCAGCCCTGATGTGTGTCGAGTTACAGTTTTGAGGATTAGCAGGTCAGCTAAGGCGCCCAACGCTAACCCCTGCATAGAGAAATCTAAATTATGGATGTTCAATAACATATACTGAATAACATCTGATATGGTTTTTCCACAAATAAAATTGACTGGTTATAAATGTTTTAAATGATATCTAAGCCTCCACTGAAAATCCAGAAACCTAACGACTGAATAAAAGTTTGTAGCGCAACAAATCCTGCTTCCATGTCCACGCCTTCAACTCAGGGAAACGTTCCGCCTTCAGCTGAGGAACAGTGATAAACTCTGACACGGTTGAACAATTTGGGGAAATTATAATAGAGATTTTTCTGACCGATATTGCGATTCCATCTGCAGTTACATTTCTTAAACATCAAGCTTCAGTTCATCATTCACTGTGGAATCAATTTAAAACACAGTGGAGTGTCACAGCACAAGATACCATCAAAACTACTGATGGTTTAAACTTTGGGTGCTGCAAAGTGTACAACATGCAGCTATGGCAGAACGGACTGTGCTGCTCTTTGTTAAATCACAGCGTGCAGCCTGAGCCACAAAGTTACACTGATGAGTGGGCAAATTTAAACAATCCCCGAAAGCTTAAATTTACTCGTATAAAATAAAACTGAACTACAGCATCAGTCTCATTGTCTTACAGCCACACCTTGTATAATCCATTTGAAATTGATCTCTGATAAATCATTTTATTAGAGTCGGGTACCAAACCCTGGAATACCAGAAGATCATTAGCTGTTGTGCTGTCTGTACTTTAGAAGAAGAACGCTGTGTTGTGCATTTTGTCTCACTGCCATGAGACATTTGTCCTTGATGCATTTTTCACTTTCCAAAACAAAGTCAAGTATCTCTCTCTGCCTGGGGGAGGTTGTCTAGTTCAGCTTTCCACAGCTGAGCTCGTAGTTCATCCCTTTCTAATCAGGCATGTTATGTATGCCAGCAGCCAACACACAGAGGAGAGCTAAATCATACAAACACGACTTGATGATTGAAGAAAAAAACAAAAAAACAAACCACTAACCAGCTCATTGTTTCGCTGTGGATACGTTCATGAATTCAGTCTGAAATGGTTTAAAGAGCTTCATCTGAACAGTCATTCAGAGACTGGGTTTCACTTTCAGAGCGCTCAGAGCAGGAGAGACTTTCTGGATGTTGGTGTTAGCAGCAGAACGACTACTAATGTTACACAGACAAAAAAAAAAAGTGCCAATGATTAAGTCCTGCATTCATGTTTCTATTTAGGTGAGAAGTGAAAGGTTTTATGAGCACAATGTACTGATGTTTAGGTAACATCTGTTCAAGGTGGAGCTTTTAATTCTGATATAGTGCTGAACAGTTTAATGAAACACAATAGAAATTACTTTATTTAGTGAGTAAAACCTGTGTCCTCATTGTTACCAACACAACATTAGTGTCTAGAAAGTGTTCAAAAGACTTCTGTTTCTTTTGCTTTAAATAATCATCATATTTATTTAGCATTTTCATTATCAGACTACACTGTAGTCTATAATATACAGGACTTATGAGAAAATTAAGCGATCTTAATTCTGTTCCTAACTTTTTTTTCCTTTCTCTGGCCACAACACACATTTGAGCGGAAGGAGACTTTAAGCTTTAGGCCCTTGCAGTGGTGTGTAATTGCAATAATGCCGGTTTAAAGTCCAGCTGGGGCCCCTCTGCTGCATGTGATCGCTCCGACTCACCCTCCACACTGTTCGGTCTGTGATGTCAAACTCTCAAAATTAACTCATTAAGCGATAAGGAGTGGAAAACCAAAATGGAAAATCAAGTGACCAGTGGTGTGGATGATGCGTTTGTCACGATTCAGGAAATCTGTAGCATTAAGAAATGAAAATGTAGGCGGTAACACGAGTTCGATACAGTCATTCCTTTCACAGACAAACTACGATATTACTTATTTTGGCCATAGTGACTAAAAACATCCACACTTATTGTTATTTAAACTAACACGAAAGAACTTATAGGCCTGAGCAGTACTTAAAAATGCTTTTGAATAAGTAATTATTGAAGACATAAACTCACAGCTGCTCCATCTTGTCTCCTTGGCGTCGGGCATAAGGACTCCTCTGAAGCTCCACTATCTCAGAATGCAGAGCCATGATCTCGTCGTCCAGATGGCTCACCTCCGCCACCTGCAGGACAAACCAGGAATTACACAGCAGCTCCCACAGCGAGGATCTCCACTGCGAAACATCACAGCCTTACTTTCATTTTTGAAAACACGAGTTACCTGTGCGAAAGCCGCCGCTCTCTCCTCGTTCTCCTGCCACGCTTTCAGCATCTTCTCGGAGGCTTTGAACAAACACAGACAAGTCATCAAAAACAAACGTCCTCCCGCTCAGCCTCGACAAATCAAGAGCGAACACTCACATATGCCGTAGTGCATCTGATCGCTGTATTTTTCCAGGTCGTACTGGATGCTGCTCTTGAAGAAGTCCAGCTTGGCTTTGAGCTGCTGGGAGAAGCCGAACATGCAGTTTTTACACCTGGTCAGGTTGTTGTTGTAGCGAAGGAGACTCAACCTGGAGGGAGAAGTAGGAGGCAGTTCACAGGCAGAAAGTATTGGAAGGGAAAAAAACAACAACAACAACAAAGCAGAGACACAGGTCCTATCTGTGGGTAGTTTTGCGTCTTGTTCGTCCGAATTCATCTTCAGAAATGAAAGTTTCTCTCCTGTATGATGACTTTGGCAAATAGAGCAGCTTTCACAGAGATGGGTGTTAAT